AATGAAATTTTTATCCCACCTTTTTATATATAACTCAAGAGGGCAAGAATACTTTACTCCTCCCTCCTATTTCCACCCTCCCATCCATAATGACAAACCTTTGAAGTAGGTTGGGATGAGAGAGATGACTGGCCTTAAAGAACAGTCCTCTTAAACCTGGAATATATATCAATATGAAAATAAAAGAACTTAACCTCACCTGCTCTGTTTCATTTGGAAAATGAATCTTGTGAGAAATCTTGGTGATATTATTCTGAATTGCCTCCACCTCTACACTGTGTGGAGCCCACTTCCGACAGCCACTCCTGAAGAACAGAAATACAAATGGCTCTTAGAACTACCTTTGATGGAGAAGTTCTCAATGCTAACACAAGAGGATCAATTTTCACCAGCCTCACAGGAAAGGTAGTTGAGGTGTGGGTAAAAATAGAGAAAACTGAAGCTGAAGGTGTTTTTCTTTTTTTTAAACACAGACACAGTTTCTACCCATATATGCAATAAAATATCACATATATTTTGGACCAGAGAGTGAAGGGAGAGAAAACAAATTGCATTCACAAAAAGACCTTAATGAAAAACAAAACCACTAAAGGATGAGGAGATGAAATTAATCTCTCCTCAGGAAAGGAAGATTATCCTCTTCATAATAATTGTAGATTAGTTTATACATTATATACTGTAGGTTCTATAGACCTGATTAGCATTCTGTAAAAAAAAAAGCATGAGCTTATCTCTGAGAATTAAAAACCTTCTACCTCATCACTTTTTGGATCCTATGTCTGCATTCCAACGCCAGATTCTCCTTCAGACGAGTCTCAATGAACTTCTGAACATGTTTCAGCAATGATTTACTAGGTGGAAAAAGGCCTGTGCAGAGCCATAGTAATTGCCAACCATTATTCAGGCTATACCTGCCAATTTAATAAATAATTTCAAAATTTGCATACAAATATCCATAACCTAAGCCAAAAACACTTCAGACTTAGAAATCTATTAGGCAACTTAGACTGATTTTATGATTTGTGTTTTCTTTACATGAATGCTAGTAATCTTTTATTGTGAAACTCAAGGAGTTTCTGAAATCCAATTGCAGCTCCCCTCTCCCCAAGATCCACAAATCAATATGTTCTTTTTTTGTTGCAACCACTGATATAAAATTTATCCTATTAAGAGAACTCCCAACCTAATACTCCAACTTGGCACTTCCAGTGCCAACCAAAATTTTCATGTCAATTTGAAACATTTAGTGGGAAATACTTTTTTCGTTACCTGTTGTGGTTTTCTGTTAACTGTTTCAAGATCTGACAATAGACCTCATCTTGCAGAGTATCTTCCTGAATTGCCACTAAAAATATCTGGTCAGTAAGTTCCACAGGAGATCTCTCTTGCTTTGAGGGATAATCTCCCATGTATTTCATAATGGGTGAGCAAAAAAATATAAGGAAAGATTTAACAAAAAAATAAGTACAAACTACAAACCAACTCAAAACTTCTTCTAAGTGCAGCATATAACTAGTTAGTGAATGGCCTTTAGTAGAAGCTAGATTTGACTATTATGATAGTGCTCTCTTACATACCCATCCAATTTGGTCACCTAAAATCTGGATTCACTCTTCATCCTCTTCTCAATTTTCTGCACTCAAATAAATCAAACCATGTCAAACAATTAACAAAAATGTAAAGGTATGTATCGATACCTATGTGTTTGTTTACTTTTTATTAAAAATATTTCCAAGTCAGGGACGGAAGCGTAGAAACCAGTTCATAGAAAATAATTCTGCTCATTACCAAATAAGCTAACTTTAACATAAAGGATATCAATGAAGGTCTGGCAAGCAAAGTCCCAGAGGTCTGGATTAGAACACACCTTCTTTAGCAAAGGCTTTTTCAGGGGCTCCCTAGAATGAGCCCACAGATGACTCCGCCCTCGGGACTTGGATAAAACTGCCTTGCTGATTGATTCCTTCTCAGGTACTCTGAAGAAACATAAAACTATTTCAAAATTTGATCTGCTCAATATAGACAACTGATTCATATATGTTGCTTACAGGCTAATATAATTAGAATTGGGATCTTCCCTAGAATTCTCTAGCCCTATCACCACTTACCACTCAGAATTAGAATTAATTCATAAAGTAACAAAAAGGACAAAGCCATTTTCATATAGCAAAATCCTAAACCTCTCTGTTAACATCTATCAGAAAGAATCAAGCAAATTAAAAAGTTGCTATGGATATACACTATGTTATCAAATAGAAATTCCTTCTTACAAAAGAGGTCTTTAGGAGTTGAAAGTTTAACTGGATGCAGAATATGGGCTACCCTAGCAGGCTTTGAAACTAAAGAGCTGTATGTACTGGAATGGCCTGGTTGAAAGACTCACAAAGCAACGAGACTGAACTACAGATCAGTCTTTCTAATTTACAGACATGGCTGTAATGAATGGGGTTGAAGATAGAAGAGGATCTGTCTCTCTCTTCAATATACCTAATATGGTGCTGAGATGGCAGCAGAAAGATGACTGCAGCAAGGTGGTAACAAGTTGTCCCAATCCACCTTGTATGTTCTATAGAGGAATATAGCTCCTGTAAATGCAGTGAAGCAGTACCATTTTGCCCCCTCAAATGCCTTTTGGGTGCTGTGATTATTTAATGCTAATATTCCCTTGTAGCACTTATCAGTCTGAGCTATTTCTTAGTGCAGTCAGTATTAGTTTATGAAAGCAAACTTTGAGATAGCACTTTAGAATTGCTATGCAGGAAAGCTCTTTCTCTAGTTCACTCTATTATTTATACGTTAGGAATAATAAATTATTTCAATGATGTCCTTCACACAGAACAATCACACATGGACCAGATACCCTTTCTGAGACCAGTATGGAAGACAAAATATAATTTAATAACTAATACAGATTTTAATGCAATTCTCATTGATTCTTCCTCAATTAGGCTTAAAAGGCAATACAAGTATATTTCTCAAGGAAATGTAAAAAATTGTATAAAATATAATAAGGTGTACCTGAAGTGCTCATAGGAGAATTCTTCCAGAGTGTATGACTTCACAGTTGCATTCTCTTCCTCGGGTTCTTCCACATGAGAGTTTAGCGATACTAACCTCCGTTGTTCAGGTGACATCATCAGCAAGCTCTGGAAAGATATGGCCATTTGAAGACACTTCACTTATGGTCATGGCAGCAACATAATATTAGAAATTAAGCCATGTATTAAGCCATGGATTTTCAGGAAAATATTTATGAACAGGACTTCTCTTTCTGCCAGATTTGCTCAAAGATGTTTGACAGAAAAAGAGAAGTAAGGAAGCACATCAGCATTTTTCTAAAGTTAGAGGATTCATTCCAAAAAGTTTCTCAAAGGGGCTAGTACTGTACTTGAACAAGACCAACAGAACAGATTTTGGAATTTAGCAATTAATTATTTCATATCTATATATTTAGGGTAATAGATAATATTTTTATCTCACATAGATTCTGATAACAATCAATCAAGAACAAACAAATGTGATAAAAATAATCACATTTATAACTCATTATATTAGTTATCTATGAATTACAGTAATTTTCTGTGCATGCTTGATTATGCTGTTAAATAAAGCCACACAGGAAAATTAGTACAAGGGCAAAGTTAATTTTTAAGACCAAAGAACTAAAAAAAAATGGGAATCTGTCTGCATATATAAATCCTGAGATCCACAGTGAAACACAGCATTGAGGTTCCACAGTGTTGAAATTCAATTTTTTTTTACTACCGGTTCTGTGGGCGTGGCTTGGTGGGTGTGGTAGGGGAAAGATACTGCAAAATTCCCATTCTATGCTTGTTGGAAAGCCTCAATCAGGCTATCAAAAGGGATTAGACAAACATCATTAGAAGGAACAGCACAGTTTCTAAACAGTAATCTGTTTTAATCTGGTGACTGGGCATCAGGACAGCCTAAGATATCTCTCCCTTACTGCAATGAAAAAGACTGCTCTGTATGTCTTTGTAAAGAAGAAATTATTGTAATGAAAAATGAAATGGGAATTTGGCTTAAATATTCTTACAAAGTAAACCTAGCTAGTGGCTGAAGTACTATGCCTTGTTTGCTAGAAACTGGCTAGAAAGAAACAAGATAAACTGGAGTGATAAAGAACATTTTAGAGGGTGACAAGGAGCCATTTTATAAGAGTACCCCCCACCCACCCACATTTCTTTTTTCCACAACTAGTTTATTATCTTTATTATTCAGGGAATTAAGTGGCAGTCATTTGT